CTAAATTCCAACATGACTGGATTTCAGGAGACGCTGACTGGTTCTCTTCCTGGCTTGCCCGCCGCTCACTTGCGTCTCAGCTGCTTACCAGGAAGGAGGGTATGTTGCTTTCTTGCTCAGCCCCCTAAGTTCCAACAGGGCCTTCCATCTTTCTTAGGCAGAGATTTTCTTTTCTCAGTAAATGTTTTCTGTTCTTGACCTTCATTGTTCCTCTCACATATGCAATATGGGGGGGAGGGCTTTGCAGAGACCACCAGGCTTGTGTAAAGGCAACATGGTGTGGAATTTATCATGCCTGATACAGGAAGACTGAAAGTGATTAAGAATGTCTGCCCTGAACAGAGAAGTGTGTCCCTTTTTATAGGAATGGAGAGAAGGCAGGGGACATTAGGTAGAAAGATTATAATAAACTTCTGTGGTCAAAGTTCTCTGGCAGTCTTACACCTCAGTGGGCAGAGTCCTGGAAGTGTTTGGGGGTAATTTTGGGGTGTTTCTAGATGTCCCAGATGTCCCAGGACCTTCTCCTATCTTAGCACCTTCACAACACCCTGTGCTTGCCGGTGGATGATAACTTTGGTACTGAGATGAATTCCCTGCAAAGAGTAGTGCCTCTGCTCTACTTGATAGAGGTGGGAGCTGTAAGAATCAGGTGCAATTTAAATCTTACAGTTCCTAGAATTCATTACTCATTCTTCAATTTTAGAGAGCACAAAGTTGGCATATATATGTATATATATATATATATATATTTTTTTTTTTTTTTTTTTTAAACTGGGAATTGAACTTATGACCTCACGCTTTGCCAGTCAGGTGTTCATGCCACTGAGCTATACCCTGGCATTGTTTTTGTCTCTTTGAGACAGGGTCTCACTATGCAGTTTGGGATGGTCTTGAGCTCACTTTGTAGTCTCAAACTTGCTACCATCCTTCCTGCCTCAGCCTCCTAAGTGCTAGGATTACAGGCATGCACCACCACACTCAGCAAACTTGGCACATATTGCCCTTATATCATTTGGAGGTCCTATTGTTGTGGGAAAGTTTCCAAGTCAAACCAAAAAGAAGACTCTTTGCACACCAAGGAGACAAGAAAGCAGCATTGAATCTCCACATTGGTGGACTGCTGCAGGATCATTCCCAAAGGCAACAGCCCGGGGTTTACAAGCAGTTTAGTTTATATAGCATTTAGAAGTGGGAAGCACAATGCAAGTGACAAAACATTATATAATTGGTTACATGCATTGACTCACATATAAACAGGCAGGTTAGTCTTGAACAGATTTTTTGAAACAAAAGAATTGTTTATCATAATATAGGGAGAGGGACCCTTACAGAGTAAACACAGTTAAAGGCATTACTATAATATAGAAACATTCTGGGAAGGGAGCCCTTACAGAGTATCCTTGACTAGCCCAGGGTGCCTTAAGATACAGACAATTACTGTGACACAGTGCTCTTCAGAGATATGCAGCTGGGCTTTAGATACTGTCAAGGTCAATTGAATTCAGTAGAAACAGCAGAACAGAAACTTCATCAGAGACCTCTAATTGATTGTGAAATACCTGTAAATTTGCTGTTTTATATACATAATTGTGCGCCAACACTGTCACAATTCTTTCTCATCTCCTTCTCTCTACATTAGTCAAAAGTACAAAGAGCTAGGTGTCTCTGCTTGGAAAACTCTGCCTTTTGAAACTATAATCATTATATGAACATTCTGCTGGGGACACTTATCTTATAAATACCACCTCAAGTATATAAAATCCCATTTCAAAGATTGAAGCATACAAACCATAAACTTTTATTCCACTGAGATTTAAAATTTTTGGATTTCCTATGATGTGGAAATATAGATAGCTAAGTTAGGTAGATATACTTATATACTTATCAGACAAGACTGGGGCCTTGAGAGGTCCGTGGCAGAAGACAATTGGCTGGAGGCATATTCACTAAAAGCTAGACTTCAAGTGATATACTTCCTCTGGGGAGCAGTGATTGATATTCTTTTTTTGTCTTTTTCCTTTTTATCAGTACTGGGGATTGAACTCAGGACTGCCTGCTTACAAAGCAGGCACTTATGCTGCTGAGCTAAATCTCCAACCCCAGTGATTGATATTCTAAATAGGCATCAATCACTTTGGGCTAGAGACCAAACCTCCTTACCCACCCTTTCCATGAAAGCCATTGTCTGTTCCATGTGCACTTGTTACATGCCTTGCTTCCCAGTTTGATCCCCATTTAATCAATGTTAATCATGTGACTATACTTGTAAACTTATTGGTTGACCACAGCCTTGTCCCACTTTACACTATAGAATATATAGAATATAGAATAGTTCTATAATTTCCTTTTGGATTAATATTATTTATAGGGCTGGGGATTTACCGGGGTCCGAGCTATCACATTTGGGGGCTCGCCCGGGATTGGAGCAAGACCCCAGACTCATTTCTGAACATTTGAAAGTACGTACTTTGGAGGGTTTGTTTGGGCCATGGTCAGTTTGTACTCTTGGGGAGGGGATGCCCTCAATTTGGGAAGCGGGGACCTCCTGAGGACAGAGTCAATTGGTTTTTGGGATAGTTTTTGGGATGAACTTCGTCCATTTCTTACTCTGCCCCAGGTGGGGAACCACTCCGTTGGTTAATTTGTTAATTCCTCCAGATCCCTAAAATTTGACCAATTTTTGAGCAAAGGCCATTTTGCTGCAGCTTGTCTTAAGTGCCTGCTTGGCAGGCGCAAGATTGCAAGTTTGATTCCTGGTACAAAAAAAAAAAAGATTATTTGTGCTACCATGTCTGTAGTCTTATTGATTATGGTTTTGTCCCAGGTTAAGCCTGCCTCATCTCGTGGCTTTGTTCAATAAATACCCTTGAGAAGTGGAGTTGGTGGGCAACCCACTTTCTAGACCCTCTTCTGTCCTTCTTAGACAGAAGCTTTCTCTCAATAAATTCTTCCAACTCTTAACTTCCATAGTTTCTACAATTCATTCTCAATTTTACAGAAGATGAACTTGGCATGTTGGACATCTAGCAGGTTGGGAGTAATATTTCCCTTATATCAGAAAAATACCAATTAAATTCATGGTCCTTAGAAGAGAAACTATGGTTTCCCATGAAGCAGTTTCTACCATGTTGATGAATCAGAGCCTTAGCCAGAAGAGAAACCACACCTTCCTGTGAAGCAGGCTCCACCATGCTGATGGGTAAGAGCCTCAACCAGAAGAGAAAGCACACCCTCTTATGAGCCAGCCAGTGCATGGATGAAAAACCAGAAGAACATTTGGAGGACTCACGGTGAGTTGACACGGTGAGATGACAGCAACTGAGGGGAAAGAAACAGCTTGATGCTTGTACTGTTTGGTTGGCTCTATGGGCATGGGGCTGATGGTCTGGGCATCTACTTGAAGGATGGCAGTGTGCATTGTGCCAGCTATGAGGGATTTCCTTCTGTTTTGTTTTTGAAATCCAATGTTTTGTTCTACTTTACTGTTTTATTTTATTCCTGCATCTGGTAACCTGAGCAACTTTTTTGAAGATAATAATGTGCAATATTGTTCTCACTGTTTTGTTTTGTTACTGCTTTGTTTTATTCAATGTTATATTTTGAATGATTTTACTCTGTTTTGTTTTGTTTGATTTTGCTACATCTGATAGTATGGACAGCCACTGGGAAGATAGCAAGATATATTACAGTAGCCATAATATATCTTAATTTCCTATTATCTTGTTTAGAAATTCTGTACCACTTTCACTTCTTTGTTTTAATTGGCTTTATTCTATTTTGTTTTGTTGAGTTTTACTCTTTTAAAATAAAATTAAAAAAAAAAATTCATGGTCTTCCTCCTTTTACAATGGGTAATGGTCAAATTCTGGGGAGTCTTCATAGTTCCCAAATTTTGGAGAAACTTATCCTTTGGGTTTTGGCTTTCTCTTTTGTCTCCTTCTCTTACTTGCAGGCATTTTCAATATTTTTCTTTTACAGAGCCACGCCAGACCTTGAGTCTTTCTAAAGCTTTCTTTGGCTTCCGCAGACCACAGAATCATTCCCTAGCTGGAGTCTTCCTAAGTGTTCCAGCTATTGTCCCTGTGTTATGGGTAACTAAGAATTTATTCTTTTCCCTTTTTTGGGGGGAGGGTACCATGAATCAAACTCATGGCCTTGTGCTTGCCAGGCAGGCACTTGCACTGCTGAACTATATCTACAGTCCTCTTATAGGCAACTGAGTTAGATAGAAATATTATAAGCAGTCAAACAGGCCTAGGTCCTTGAGAGAACCAGTACAGAAGACCAGATACCTTGCAACTGTGGGGGAGACAGATACCCCCCCCCCATTGTGGGCCAGGCCTCAAGACAAAAGATCAAACAAATATAGCCACATCCTAAGGACTGATGTTCTAAATCTTTCTTTATCACCCTGAGGAAGCCAGGAGTCACCACCCCAACCTCCAAAGGGAAGAGTCACTGCTCTTTAATCATACCAGCTTGTTGTGTGGCTCACTTCTCCATTTGTCCCTCATTTGGTCAATTTTACCTGAACAATTAAAAATATTGGTTGACCATAGTTTTTTCCCACCTTGTGAGTTCCCTTGTTTTCTCCACCTTAGCCTCATCTTGCCTTGTAGTTTTGTTCTATAAGAGTCCATAAAATGAGAGTCTTTGGCAGTCTACTTGGGACACACCCCTTCAGTCTTTCTCCCCGAAAGCTTTGTTTCTTTCAATAAATATATTCTGCTGTTAACCTCCATTGTTCTTAAAATTCATTCTTCTATTTTAGAGAACATGGACTCATACAGGACATCTAATAGATTGGGAGTTTCATTCCCCTATATCACCCAGAATGCAGTCATTATGTCATGGGTTGGGTTTGATGGTCCTCAAGGCTGAAATAAGGATCTTTACCCTCTCTTTTAAAATAAGTATGCAGGTTCACTGACTCCCATCTCAAAAAAAAAGTTTTCAGGACACATTGTTAGAATTTTCTGGCGCAATAAAGGAGCAGAATATATATATAGTGGCCTTTTTATTTAAAGAACGAGGAGAGAAGCCCACAACTAGCAAGGGTTTGGCTTCTCCTCTGCCCGGATATGAGGGTGTGTGTATATGTGACCTTTGACCAGATGTGGTACTTGGGGTGAGCATTGATGAAGTGCAAGGAGCTGATTGGAACTTTCTTCACCTGCATAGGGAAAGGAAGGAGGGAGTTATAATCAAGGAATTGGCCATCAAAGTAAGCATCCCCGATTTGGCCTTCCACCATGTTGAACCTCTGCCATAACGTCCTGTAATTTATTCTAGGGCAAACTCTTTCATACATCAGTAAAAAAGAGGTGAAAGAATTATTAGAGGAAGATACTGGACTGGACGCACTCAACAGTGGACCACAGATGCTCAAAGAAATGAGAGGCACAATATAGTTGTGAACTGAGATCTTTTATATGTTTTGAGAGGTGGAAATCTGTGGAATTTGATAATCTGTAGTCTTTTTTTTTTTGTCTTTTTATCGGTACGGGGATCGAACTCACGACTGCCTGCTTCCAAGGCAGGGGCTTATGCCACTGAGCTAAATCCCCAGCCCCTAATCTGTAGTCTTATTGCAGGAAAATTCCAAACCAAACCAAACCAAAAGGAAGACACTTTGCACCAAGGGAGATAAAAAGGTAGGGTTCAGTCCTTACATCAGCTGCCTGTTGAATCTTCACACCAACAGACAGTTGCAGGATAATGCCACAAAGGCAACTGTACTGAAGTTAGTTTATATAGAATTTAGAAGTAGGAGGTACAAAGCAAGTGAGAAAATGTTACAAAATTGGTTACATGCATTGAGTGATATATTAATAGGCAGGCTAGTCTTGAACAGATTTGTTGAAACAAAAGAATTGTTTATCATAATACAGAAATATTCCCCAAACAAGTGGAAGGTCCATTATACAGTGAGCATAGTTAATGGTGTCCTTGATAGGCCAGGGTGCCTTGAGGATAGACAATTACTCTGACTCAGTGCTTATCAGAGGTATGTGAAAGGATTTTGGCCCAGACAGGACACTATAGCTGGTAAAGCCTCAGGCAAAACCAAGGAGTCCATCTCCCCCACCCCTAGGAATTTACCTCTGGCGCCAAAAGAATACCAATGCGGTACCTGTGCATCCCTAATACCCCCTCAGGCTCCACCCCAAACCTAAGCTACAATATGCCCCCACTCCACGAGTCCCACGGAGAGATCGCAGACCCCGGGAGTGGGGGGGGGAGATGCCGCACCCCAGGGGATCGGGGATCTCTCCCCGCATTTTTAAAATAAAGGTCATTTATATTTCATACTTCTTATCTTTTCAGCCGCCGCCCCACAATTCTATCAGTATGCAGCTGGGCTGTAGACACTGTGACGGTCAATTGAATTCAGCATAAACAGCAGAATAGAAACTTGGTCACAGACCTCTCTAATCGATCATGAAATACATGTAAGTTTCTTTCTTTCTTTCTTTCTTTTTTTTTTTTTTCGTTTTTATCGGTAAGAGGGATCGAACTCACGACTGCCTGCTTGCAAGGCAGGAGCTTAATGCCGCTGAGCTAAATCCCCAGCCCCATAAGTTTCCTATTTTATAAATATGTTCTTACGTTATAATTGTGTTCCCAACAGTCTTAGTCACAGTCTTAGAGGGTGAGAGAGAATGGTCCACCCTTAATGAGCCATTCCTATGGGGAAAGCCGAAAAAGGCTATCTGTGCACAGGTGAAAGGACCATTTGCAAGTAAAAGGAACCCCGCAGACCACTGTGCAGTTGAAAGGCAGTTCCCAAGATCTGCTGTTTCGGGAGAAGGAAAAAAGGAAATAAACAGAGCTTGTGTTCTGAAGTGTGTTTTTCTTTACAGTACTCACTCTCTCTCCATGGTTCTGGGAACTCCGGACCTTTCCCTTGCCAGGCAGGCGCTGTGCCGCTGAGCTAAATCCCTGGCAAAAGTACTATTTTTAAAATTTTGATTTGTCTCCCTTATACCTAACTGTATTTCTTCTATCTTACCTCAATTAGGCCGTGCTTCTGGGTATTCCTTTTCTCTTAGTCTTGTTAAGACTTTACTTCAGAAGCGCTTCCTGCTTTGTGAGATTTTGGTCTGATTGGTTTAGTTTCTTAATGGGCTTAGTCACACAGGAGAAGACTCAAATTCTCTGTTGAATCCCATGCCCACATCAAGCACAGAAGAAAAAACAGAATGGTCGGTAGTTCCTAAATCTAAACAGTTCATGGGGAGACGCAACATGAGTTTTTCAAATTAGAGACACTGTCACCTCCAACTCCGCCAGAATTATAATTTGCCTTTGGATAGCCACGGGAAATCAAGAGTGAATTTTGGAAACCCTCAATAGATTCGAAGTCTAAGGCCAGATCACGCTAATTGTCTTTGACCCGCAAGCCTAATGTTTTCCCTGGTAGTCTACCAGACCCTTTCCCCTCCTCCCTTTGGCCTTGCCCTAAGCCTCCAGTCTCTTCTCGTACGAGCTAGGCTTCCTTGCACCATCCTCCTCCCTTTTACCACCCGACTTTCACCCCTCCCTCTCCTCCACCCTCCAGTCACCCACACCTTCTACTACCCGCCTCGCCCCCTCACCTCTTTGGTCACCCGCTGAGCTCCTCCTCTTTCTTTCCCGCCCCATTCCCACCTCCCAACCCCGCCCATCTTCTCCCCAGCTAACGCTACAGCATCTGTCCCTCGCCACTGATCTGCGTTGCACGTTCCTTCTTTTTGTCCCTCCTCACTATCCGTATTACATTGAGCCGGTCGCGTGTGTCGTCACGCTCAGGTCATTTACCCTGTGCCGGAAAGAAAATCGACCAGCACTGTGGGAATTATGGCGGCGGTGGATATCCGAGGTAATGTTGCTTTATACTTAATTCCACAATTAAGGAGTTTACAGCTCGCGGGGGCAAGATTCGAATTACTTTGTGAGGTCCCCCGCGCTCTTTTAGATCGTATCTCTAGATGACCAGTTTGCCCTAGTTTGCCGAGTTTGCTCTAATTCCTGATGAGTGTCTTTAAAACGTCCCTCTGAGCTGCAGTTATATTCTGCATATGATCTCTGTACAGTAGCAGTATTGGGAGTAGTACAGGATAAAGGCATAGCCTTTGGTCAGAGAGGAGACTTTGATAATGAGCCTACTTGGTCTGATGTATCTTCTTGGGACTTGACATGGGCGGGGGGCTGTCTTGTTCTTGAAATTGCACGTCACGGAGGTTGGGTTAGTTTTGAGTCTATAATATCGTACGTGTAACACAGAGTACTGTAATTATTTAGGGTGGGGGGTTGTGATTTACTTTTAACAGTTGAACTGTAGTTCTCAGAATGCTTGTGACTCAATCAGTGGATAGATTTGTGGAGATGAAGCCTCTTAATTGCTTCTTGATCTTGCAAAGTATGTAAGGTTTTGCTTGTGTATACTTATATGTAAAGGAAAATGAGATGCCTTTATACTAACAGAATTAAGGTCTAGCAGACTTATGGTTATCTAGCAGTCTAGCATTTCTGAATCGTGATTTTACATGTTACATGTCATAAGAGTTTCAAGTCCTAATTTCATCACTCCCAAATTGTCAAGAGAGCTGTACTGAGTTGTTTCCATACTAGATAAATAGTGAATAAAAAAAGAAGCATTTAGTCCATAAGTCTACATTAAAGTAGATAGCGTTTGTAATGTTTTATTTTGTATTTAGATTTGTTAGCGAAGGCTCTAAAGCAGTAGGATTGATGATTTGGAGGAACAAGGAGACTGGTATGTATAGAGGCTGAGTGAGGAAAGATGAAGTGGATGGCTTTTCAATTGACCAAAATGGAGAGCCATCAAAGGGTTTTTTAATTTTAAATATTTATTTATTTATTCATTTTTGTCTTTGTGAGAGAGAGAGAGAGTCTCGATATGCAGTTCAGGTTGGTCTTTTTGTACCCCAGGCTGGTCTCGAACTTGCAATGATCCTCCTGCCTCAGCCTCCTGAGCTCTGGGATTATAGGAGTGCACCACCACACCTGGCTATTACCAGAGGGTTCTGACCAGATGGATGACGTATTATGACTTCCCCCTTTTTTTAGGCACTGAGGTTGAGAAGAGTGTAGAATTAAGAGAAACTAGGTAGGAGACTATTTCTGAAATAGATGTAGAGTTAGAGGTTGCTTGGACAAGATTGTTGGCAGTGGAGAAAGGAAGACGTGTTTGGAGTCTGCTTGATTTGGTTTTATGTTGCATGAAGTTGTGGTCATAGATCGTCTCCAAGTGGGCCAGATAATTATGCTCTATTTTGTAGCTATAGACCATAGCTTAAATCTTAGTTAACCATTTTGTTGGATGAACATCCTTGGATACTGGAGTCTGTGTAAATGCATTGATACAAATTTCTGGGGTCAGGGGTATAATCAGTGGCACAGTTTTTGCCTGGCAAACTTGATGTCCTGAGTTCAATTCCTGTTTCCAAAATTAAAAATAAAAATCTCTGATTAGTAAGTCATACTTTTCCTTGGCCTTCAGTCATGAATTAATAAATGTTTGCCAATTTCTATGAATCAGGGCTTGTGCTACTTCCTGATTAGTAAAACCTACAATTTAATTAATTAGTTAATTAATTGTCTTTTTGAGACAGGCTCTTGCTATGCAATTCAGGGTAGCCTTCATCTCACTTTGTAGTCCAGGCTGGCCACAAACTCAGCAATCCCCCTGCCTCAGCCTTCCAAGTGCTGGAATTACAGGCATGTGCCACTGTATCTTGCTAAACCTACAATTTAATAAGGATGCATTTGTATTTTGTCATTGTTCTTCTATTTTTTTTTTTTTTTTTTTTTTTTGTGAGATGATCTTACCATGCTCTTCAGGTTAGTCTTGAACTCACTATGTAACTGACACTGGTCTTGAACTCAAGACTATTCTGCCTCAGCCTTCCAAATGCCAGGATTACAGGTGTGCATCACCAAACTTGGCTTCATCTAATTTTTTAACCCTTATTTTTATTGGTACATGTTTGTAGTATATAATTATTACATTTGTTGTGCAAAGTTGGTACATGTATATGATATATTTTAATTCTTTTTTCCTTCCCTTCCTCTCTTTCTATCTTCATGTAAATTACTAATACTAATACTATGAGTATTAGTAATAAAAGTATATAAAACTTGCCATCAGAGTGGAGAAAAATACTGGGCATAGTGACGTGTGACTGTAATCCCAGCACTTGGGAGGCTGGGGGATTGAGTTTAAGATCAGGAGGATTGAGTTTGAGATCAGCCTGGACTACACACCAAGACCCTGTCTCAAAAATAAATAAAATAAAAATAAGAGAGTAGAAAAAATCACCACCAACACCATGATTATCATATTTGATATTTATTAGGTTACAGTATGCTAAGCATTTTACATACATAAGCTAGTATTCATAATTATAAATCCTACTTGCCAACAGTTAGGAAAAGTTACAGATACGAAATAATGAGGAACTGATAGAAGCCAGTAACAATGCCTCTGAAAGTAAGAATATGGGAAACATATTTTTAGGGAAGAAAAATGATAATTTTCTAAGAAAATTTAAAAGAATTGTATGGGGAGTTTTGTTATAAGTAAATGTTTTAATAATTAGATTACAGAACTTAAATTAAAAATTATTATCATTTGTTGCTTTTTATTGGCAGAAAAATGTCTTTCTGAAAATATTTCCTGGTGTCTCATTTTTGGTTATTACATGATCCACTTATAATAAACTATATAATGGTCTGTACTAATTATGTTTTCAAATTTATGAATGCTTTAATTGCTTTCTTTATTTAACAAGTCATAGTAATATTGTTCTAATTATTTTGGTTTCTGTGTACTTCGTTTGTCTCCTTCATTTTAGGACATGTATAGCATATTTTACATTTTTACTTAAACAAGTACAATGCCTCTGATTTGATTCATTTTGCTGAAAACTGCCTGTCACCTTGAATTAGATCTGACTTCTTCAGAGATCCCAGAGTAATTGCAGTATAGAAGAGGTTGAAATTTTGGGGCTGGCGATTTAGCTCACTGGCATAAGCGCCTGCCTTACAAGCAGGCAGTCGTGAGTTCGATCCCTGGTACCGATAAAAAAAAACAAAAAGACAAAAAAAAAATTCAGCCAGTCATTATATAGACATTTTGATGTTCATGATGTAAACCTAGTGGTGTTTAGTCCTTTGTGGTATGAAACATCATCCAATAGCCAATAATTGTTATGAGCATAGAGAAAAAAACACCAGGTAGCACACTTTTGTAATTCCACTCTGGGAGTCTGGGACAGGAGGATCTCAAATTAGGCCGAAGGTGGGCTAAGTGTGAAGGTACTGGGTTTAATTTCCAGTACTTCTTTTTTTTTTTTTTAATTTGTCTTTTTTCTTTTTATCCGTACTGGGGATCGAACTCACGACTGCCTGCTTGCAAGGCAGGCGCATATGCTGCTAAGCTAAATCCCCAGCCCCGATTTCCAGTACTTCTAAAAGCTAAATAAAACCAAAAGCCTCATTGGTTAAATGTATCTACTTACCATGTCTCTCTAAAGATTTAATTCTACTCAAATATGAACAGTGTGTTTGCAATAAGGGAATTTGACTATTATTTATCCTTTAACTTTTACATCATTATCATTGCATCTGTAATAATAGCTCCACAATTTATTTCTTTGTACCTACTTGAGAGGTCTCAAAATGATGTCTGAGGATGTGTCTGAAAATTTTTTTTTGGTCTTTTTCTTTTTTTTTTATTGGTACCAGTGATCGAACTCACGACTGCCTGCTTGCAAGCCAGGCGCTTATGCCGCTGAGCTAAATCCCCAGCCCCTGTGTTTGAAATTTTTAAAATTAGTAACCAGCACATAAAACTTAGAATTTGTAGTTTTTGAAAAGATCTTTCTTTTTTTTTTTTTTTTTGTGGTACTGGAGATTGAACTCTGGACTTAGTGCTTGCCAGGCAGGTGCTTTGCTGGTGAGCTAACTCCCTGGCCCTTGAAAAGATTTTGTATATATATCAAGCCTTAACACTTTTTTCTCCTAATCAAATTATTCTCTAAATGTATAATATACTTTGTATTTCTGCATATGAAATCTCTCTGTTTTGAATTGATTTATCCTTCTTTTTTCCACGGTGAGCTCTGGATTTTTTTTTTTTTTTTTCCTCTTCTAGATTGAACCTGGGGCCTTAGTACTGAATCGTATTCCCAACCCATTGGGGACAGGTTTCGTGAAGTTGCCTAGGCTAGGCTTCAATGTGGGATCCTCCTGCTGTGGTCTCCTGTACTACTGAGATTATACCACCATACCTCAACTTTCTGTTCCTTAACATACAGTGTTAAAATTCAGCTTTGCTCCTATGAAAAATCATTTTCATTCGCCTGGGTAAAACATTTTGCTCTCTCTTCTGTGCTTCTATATTTATTTATCCATTTTATTGTATTACTATATTGTGTTTTTATTGTTTTCTTGTATGTTTCTCTCTTCTGTGAGAATACATAGGTTAGGATTCATGCCATTCTTATGTTGATGTAGTGCCTACTACATTAGATCCATAATAAATTTTTGTTAAATTGGATTTTTTCCCTTGATTCTAATCTTTATCACTTTGTTTCTTTCCTGTAGATAATCTACTGGGAATCTCTTGGGTTGACAGCTCTTGGATCCCCATTTTGAACAGTGGTAGTGTCCTGGATTACTTTTCAGAAAGAAGTAATCCTTT